AACTTTGCTGTCCAATGATTGTATGGGATTTAATCCCCCTTTGACTTTTTAATTTAATATTGGGCTCAGCCCTTGTTCTTACCACACACAAAAATTACCATAAATATTATTCTTGTTGATTACCATTAAATATTCATGATTGTATTGATTTTTTGACTAAATTATACAAAACTCTTAAACTTTAAGTCATATGTCAAGAACCTTTCTAATATTTAGAACTTTACAATAACTCTGGCTAAATTTTTACCTTTATACATGCATATAAGCCAAAACTATCAATTTTATAAGAAATTAATAATAATAATTCAATAATTCTAAAAAATAAATTATATGCTACTATTATAATTATCATATTCTTAGATATTGTATTTTACGTAGGCAAAAATTGTATTTTGAAAAATTATATTAGACACAGTTTGGGATATTTAACAGGTTCAAATTATGCTTAAATTAAAAATTTACATTTTCAAAAGAAAAATTAATTAACTTAATGAATTTGGGTTTAGATTTAAGGGCTCAAAATTATAGGATCAGTGGGCAATATATAAATATTCACACTGCTTATATATCAATTTCTCCAAAATAGAGTGGCACAAATACGAAATTTCTCCAAAATTTAAGTGACCTCAGATATATGTGAGCTCCATGGTAATGGTTGCCCTTATTATTAGCTACAATCCAAACTGGTGTTGGGCTTATTCTAACCACATTTTTATACAGTTTGCGAATTACCAGCTTAAAAGTTTCGCTGGATACCAAAAATATATACAGTTAATCCCAAACATGTTATATTATAATTATAATTATGAAAGTATAATTTTAAGAGAGAAGTTATGATGAGTATAGTCTCTTAGTAAATTTGAATTGCGCCGCTAAAAGAGAAATAAAATGTCGTTGGAATTGTTTTGCCGTACAAGAAAGGAGGGGGAAGCTGAAATTCATATATTCTAACCAAACTTACCTACCCAGTTACTGGTCAAATTCAGCATTCATAAATAATTTGAAATAATATAATTAAGGAAAAAAAAGAAAGAAAAGAGGATAAGAACAAGAAAGGCAAATGAAATGGAATTTTCATTGTAGGGAGAAGAGGAGGGTGAGCAACCGTACAATAGTTATGGAATGATATTTCTGACCTACTTTTATTTATTTCATATATATATTTATATATAATTTCATTTTACTTTAATTTGCTCAGCCACTTTGAGCAGCAACATGTATATTTCTAACCCACTTTGACTTTCTGCACTAAACAACAAAACTTCTTGAACATTATTAATTAATTGCTTTCATTGATCGTGATTCATTTAATTTGGTGCTCCTTAATTCGTCCGAGTTATTTTTAATTTAAATAATAAATAATGGAATACTTTATATATCACATGCATACGCAAAAGAGATTTATACTCCTACGTTGTGTTTCTTCTCCATTTTCATTTCTTGCATATAGTCCTCTTCTCTCCCTCTTTCTTTCCCCAAAAATTAAAAAAAAAGGAGTATCGAGGGAATTGCACTTCAAACGGAAAATAAAATATGCCATGAGATTTTTTCTTTTCTTTTGGAATAATGTTAAGTATAATTAATTATTTTTAATCTGGCTGGATTATTTGTAAATATTTTTTTAGGCACAAGGAGTATATATACTATATATGTCGTTTGCTTAAGGGTGCAGAGAAAGTGAGGGGAGGGAAGAAAAATTTTAATGAGCTAGATTTAGAAAATTAAAGTGGAATTAAAATTTTTAATTAATTCTTATTATTCTTTTTACTAAAAATTTTAAATCCCATTTCTTCAATTTCTAAATCTAGCTTAGTAAAATTAAAGTGGAATTAAAATTTTTTAATTAATTCTTATTATTGTCATACCAATATATAAATTGATTGTAAACGGAACATTACAATACCAACATGGTCATACAAATTTTTTTGGTTTCTTAGCTTACTTGTCTACTTTGTCAATCATAGTCCACGGAAGGTAAAATTAGAACTTGAAAATAATGTTTTATTTTTAGTTGTTTTAATCCAACAATAACAGAATATGCTATATGGTATATTTGAACCTACAATGTAGGCTTTAATTTGAAATGACGATTGAAACTTTTAAAAACAGTTTTCAATTGTAATTTATAAAATATAAAATAAATATACGATGAGAGTTTTATTTTGCTTTATAAATAGTGGATCCAAACAAAGCCTCATGAAGCTCATGTTATACTAATAAACAAAACTTAGAGATCTATAATAAGTGGCACTCTGTATAACTTAGACTTATTAGTATACCTAATCTCAAGATTTATGTAAAACACACAGGTTCACAAATCACAATCTAATTAATTTCATCAGCTAGTGACCCCACATTTTCTTAATTACACAAGGAGGGGTTCGATGCTTTGATTCCATGATGAGCTGGCCTGAAGGTATTTGAGATATCGAGCCTATATTTTTAAACAGAATAGGAAAAGCGCATTATTTTCACTCATTTCAGGAAGACATGGCTATTTATTTAAAAGTTGCCACCAAAGCCGGAATGCAACAGAACCAGACCACCGAAAAGCAAAAAGAAGATCAATCAATATGGGATGAACCGAAAATGGTGCAATATTATTTATTAATACATCAAACGTAAGTGTTACGTACAACTTTGGTTTTTTATACATCGATTTTCATTATACATTACATGATATACAACGAGTATTATTAACTTTATAGCATATAAATAAGAATTGCCAACAAAAATTAATCCAATTAGTAAGAAATTGACTTATAACTCATAAGATTGTGAGTTTGATTCTCGTTGCAGATATAAGGACCTGGCTTTGGTGAACTCCAGGGATTCAACTCAACTAAATTTTTCACAACCAAGAAAACATATAAATAAGAATTAATCACACACAATGAACAAGAAAAGTGAGTGAGTAAAAATAATACTACTGCTACTTTTGATCTTTAATATAATATTTAACATATATGAACAATATTGTGCAGGTCCTCCCTCAACAATAATTAATTTACGATGCACTTACGCCAGAATGAATTAACCTTCTGTCATTTTGATTGTGAAGCAGCGTATTAATAAATATAGTAATCTGATTTCAAGTAAAGGCGTAGAATGTAATAATGCTTATAGCTTTGGAATTTCCAACTCTTCTTGAAGACACTTGCACCTACGATCGAGACAAGACGTCGCCATAGTGGAATGAGATCACATCATGTAGATAAATGTGTGCGTGAGTGGATTGGAAGAAATGATACTAATATATAATACCGTATATTCTGTCCGATGATGATTAGATTAATGGCTTCTGGAGACGTCCATGAAAAACGAAGGGGGAAAAAATATTTTTTTTGGTTACTCATAGATATCTTTCTATTTGATGTATTGTCAGTTATTAAATATCAATTTTTTTCTAACAAGAATTCAGATATTAATTTACCTCATTGTGAGGAACTGACACATTTTGTTAGACATGCTAATATTTTCTTTTTGATATAGGAAGAAAAAATTAAAATTATACTTGATTAGTATCTAGTAGTGATTAGTATCTGATTAGTATCTGTCATTCATGAATGAAAAATATGCATAAGACCATGTTTATAAATGGGATATATGCCATTTGGGTTGTGATGTAAGAAAATAATACAAGAAAGTTCTCTCATTTACTTATTATCTCTATCTCTTCTCCATGCATTTTATTTTCCTAATTTTTTAATTTTATAATAACTTCCTCTATATAATTATCGGAAATGTTTTTACACAAAATAATGCCTTTTCACTTTCCAGAACTCTGGTACAGGCAAATCCCATCACAAGTATGAAATGAGGAAAAGAGATAATAAGCCAATATTATCGCCCAAGTTACTCACTACGATACGACTTTCATATTCGTTTGGTAGTTAGGACTTTTCAACGCAACGCTTGGGTGTAATTAACGTATTGCTACCAGATAGTAGTGTTAATTACACAATTTCATTTATTAATTAAAATGTTTCTAAATAATTTACTTCAAGAACGTGACTTCCAAAACGTACAATTATGATTTGAGTAATGTCAAGTACATTCTTTTGTTTTTTTAACTAAAATTCCACGCAAACTATCGGTACCAGCAGTGAATTTGAATTTGAATACCCAAGCCTGACATCATCATACTAAAATACTTAAAGTGGGGAGGAAAAAAAAGCTACCCCCTTAATTAATGAACATTAGTTACATCCCGTACCTTTTAATTTTATTAAAGAGTGTTTGGATGAAAACCAAACCATGATTTTAAAATACTTTTACGATTTATGAAATAAATATGTAAGGAGTTTATTTCGTTTGTGAAAAAGTACTTTTTAGAAGCACTTTTGAAGGTTATCAAACATCTCCTAAGTTTTAGAATTTACATTATGCATTTACATTTTTTTGGTTGAACTAGGGTATTATTACTAGTAACAGTGGCTAATCTCCTTACACTTTACACTATAGATTTCTTGAAAAAGTTTTAATACCGGCAACGACGCCCTTTCTTTCTATGCACATTATATGCATTGTTATGAAGTGAACTGCTGAATAGATGCATCATGATGATAAGATATGCATACCAAGAGACATGATAAATATTTTTTTTTTGGAAGCTAATAACATGATAATTTTTTTTTATTAATAATTTCTTCGTGCTTTTCAGGTTCGTTGTTGAAGTGGCCTTCAAAGTTATACCGGGAAGTTTTTTTTTAGGTGAACATATATTCTTGCAATTTATATACACAGACACAAGTTGAGGCTAAGTTGTTGGAGTTAAGTAATCAATATTTTCATATAAAACTTGGCGTATAATCCTCTTTCTTCACGGATACATCCACCCAAACCCACAGAGACAAACCAAAACAAGTAAGACGACAAAATTTAAAAAAAGAAAAAAAAAAAAAAAAAAGAAAAGTAGCCAAACGGTGCGTGCGGGGGCGCGTGTCTATATAAAAGTGGTAGTTGTAAACAGATAAACGGCCAAAATCCCTCACATAAGCACATGAGAAAGATCAGTAAAAATAATACGCGTTCTCAATCCCTTAGATATCATGATATATTTCCTTCTTAATTAACACCACAACGCACCAGAGAAATTATTCCAAAGCTCCTCACACAGAAACAAACAGCAAAAATATTGCACGTACCAGACTGATAATGGAGTCCGTCGTCTCTGAGCTTGAAGGCACGCTCCTGAAGGATTCCGATCCTTTCTCCTACTTCATGCTTGTGGCCTTCGAGTCGTCCGGTTTGATCCGTTTCGCGTTGTTACTACTTCTATGGCCTGTGATTCTGCTTCTGGAATTGCTCCGTCTGGAGGATGTTGGGCTGAAGCTGATGATCTTCGTGGCGACGGCGGGAGTTTCCCAGACGGAGATAGATTCAGTGGCGAGGGCTGTGTTGCCGAAGTTCTTGATGGACGATCTTGATATGGAAGCTTGGAAGGTGTTTAGTTCGTACGAGAAGAGGGTGGTGGTGACGAGAATGCCGAGGGTTATGGTGGAGAGGTTCGTGAAGGAGCATCTTCGTGCTGATGAAGTGATCGGAAGTGAGCTGTGGATTAGCCGATTCGGGTTCGCCACCGGGTTGGTTCGAGGTGGTTCGCTTGATACTTTGCGTGAAAGGGTTGCCATGGTTTTCCAGGACGAGGCTCCAACTTTGGGTCTGGGAAGAAGAACTGGTTCTTGTGGCTCCATCTTGCAGCTATGCAAGGTAACAAAGTTCAATCCCTAACTTAAATCAGTTTAACGAAATTGAAAGCTTGTCAAAACTGTTAGAAAATCTATAGGTAAATTTTGTATTTTGTTCCACTTTCACTTTCTATCAATTAGTTGCAAGTTAGTTAAAAAGTGAAATTCACCTGTTTCTTACACATATAGAAAAAGTTAATTAACACATGGTGGTTTAACAAAATTACTCAGACATGCTATGATTTAATTAGAGAAGAGAACATTGGCTTCTCTCTAGAGAAACATCATATGAAGTGAACAAATAAGCAAGTTGACATATCTCATATATATATATTTGACACATGCCCAGGAACAAATGCAACCGCCGGTAATGGCAAACAAAGAGCACGATCGCGAGTTTCTCCGCCCTCTTCCGGTGATCTTTCACGACGGCCGTCTGGTGAAGCGACCGACCCCTTCCATCGCCCTACTGATCCTCCTGTGGATGCCTTTGGGCATTCTGCTGGCAACAATACGCATCATGGTTGGCCTAATATTGCCTTTCTGGGCAGTTCCCTATATCTCAGGCCTCTTCGGCGGCAAGGTCATCGTCAAAGGAAAGCCGCCACCACCTGTTGCTCCCGGCCAATCCGGCGTTCTCTTCGTGTGCACTCATCGCACCCTCATGGACCCCGTCGTCCTCTCTTCTGTCCTCCAACGCAAGATTCCGGCAGTCACGTACTCCATTTCCCGGCTATCAGAGATCCTCTCGCCTATCCCCACCCTTAGGCTCACAAGGACACGACACGTGGATGCCGAAATGATCAAGCGCGAACTATCCAAAGGTGATTTAGTGGTGTGCCCCGAAGGAACGACTTGTCGCGAACCGTTTCTGCTGAGGTTTAGTGCGCTGTTCGCTGAACTAACCGACAGGATAGTTCCGGTGGCGATGAACTACAGGGTAGGGTTCTTCCATGCGACAACGGCGAGGGGTTGGAAAGGAATGGACCCGATATTCTTCTTCATGAATCCGAGACCGATGTACGAGGTGACGTTCTTGAACCAGTTGCCGATGGAGGCGACATGTTCGGCGGGGAGGAACCCACATGACGTGGCGAACTATGTGCAGAGGATATTGGCGGCGACGTTAGGGTTTGAGTGCACCAACTTTACGAGGAAGGACAAGTACAGGGTTTTGGCCGGAAACGATGGAACTGTGTCTCGTACGACGTCGTTGGCTGATAAAATGATGAAGTTGGCAAAGACCTTCAAGCCTTTCTTGCACTAGGATATTGCAAGACCAGAAAATAGTACAAGTTTGTTTGTAGAATAAACTGTACCTAACCTGCCGTGGATGTGTGTCATATAGTTAAATCCTTCAATCATTTATTTATTTTTGGTTGGATTAATGTTTTAATCATTTATTTAATTTTCAAGTTTTGAATATTTGATCATTTATATATCTTTGTCATCTTCAAGTTTATATGGATAATTCTTATAATTTAACGATAGAATATGTTATATTGTGCTTAAATTTTAAGGGCTTATTCTTTTGTATTTTAAAGTTAAAAAATATTTGCTTTGAAAAAAAAAATCAAAGTTTGCATTATTATTGATGCCACACATTATCACTGAAATTAAATATTGCGAGGTTTGGTTGAAACCATCCTTTTCATTTAATCCACCCATGATACTGGACTAACTAATAATTATATTAGTCATTAGTTACAATAACAAGATTTTTATCTGCAAATCAAAAATGAAAAAAATTTAAAGGACAAATGTAAAAGAAAGGCGATTAAACATATTAGGGTTTAGGGTTTAGAATTATGAAATAGATCTACGTACTAGCAATTTAAAGAGGGTAGTAGTGGTGAAGGAGATAAAAGATTTGTGGGGCAAAAATGAACGTGAAGTAGTAGGTAGTTTCTTGTATAACATCCATGTCCCAAATTTCTTTTTTAATACAAACGGAACGCTACATTAATTCCTAAACAGGTTTCCCTGGGGCCCTCGGGATCCTAGAGAAGACAAATTTCAAACAGCAACATCGTTTCATTAATGAATAAGGTTAGGGATGATAGTCACATATATTTATATACACACTCACACATACATATAATGATGCATTGTATTAACAGTTTTCCCTTTCTAAAATAAAGACCAAAATTCAATGCTAAAGATTTCTTTATAATGGACTTGAAGGAGAATGGAGATGGGAGAAAAGTGGATGAAAGTAAAATTTTAATGAGTTGAATTTAGAAAAAAATAAAAAAATGTTATATGAGGTATATAATTATTTTTTTACTCTTTCTTTTCTTACATATTATTTTATTAGAATTTTATAATCCTATATTAAAATTCTGGGGGTTAAATAATTAAACTAAACAAGTCTCCAATGTGCACAATTTCCAAGGGTTTCAAATTACTTGTTTATAAAAAATATCACACGCGGATATAAGCGAAAACACATGCAAGCTACTGGATTTGTTATACTTTATTTTTTATATATACATATATATATATGTATGTATATATTACCTCATTTGAGACTCAAATGATTAATTAGTTTACCGTAATAGAGTCAAAGATACACATTACACAGAGATTACACTTCAATGCGTGACACGTTATAGTCTTCATATCTAGACAGAGAGACAAATCTGTTCAAATTAATCAGAATTAGAAATGTATTAGTTGGCTCGTCCGTTTGTGATTTGACAAGTATAAATGTCCATGTTGATTAGGGTTTCCCAAATTAAAATATCATCAAGGGAATCACTATTTACTAAAAATAATCATTAATTACTCAAACGTTTTAATCAAGCCATAATTAAATCATTGATTAATTTAGGTTGAAACAAATTTAACAAATAAATTAAATATATACTAATCTTGATTTGTTATCTTCCTAGCTCACACATCTACATATCATGACGGTGTTGCCGAGTTTGATTAGATTGATTTTCAGAAAATTAAATTAGTTGTCTTTAGCTGTAAGTGTGTATATCCCTAAATTTAAGATTCAGATTAAGCACGAAATCTTTTATGAATTGCTTCAAGTAATCCATTGGGCACGCACTTCATAGAACATTGATTTGAGGTTTCAAGCACATTTTTAAATTAAATGAAATTTAACTAGTATAGTTATCTTTTAATACTTTTATCGTGCTATATCTAAGGCAATGAGGAAATTTTTTCTTGAGATACATGTATAAATCATATTCCTTCTGTTGCTTATTATAAGCAACTTTAGACTAAATCAAATACATAAAAAAGTTAAAATTAGTTAAAAACAATAAACATATACAAAACGAAAGTTTTTTCTTTTCTAAAATACCCTTATTTATAAGGGAAAGTATAAGAAAAAGAACAAAAAAATCATTATAATGAAAAATAATGAGAAAGAGAGAATATGTGATAGAGAGAGATTAAATATAATCTCTACAACATTTATTATCTAGAAAATGATGTTTTGGGAAACAAAAATAAATATATCAACCATTAAAATAAGTTTTTAATAGCGACAAAATGACAAGTTTGTTACAAAAATTTAAACAACTTACAGGTATTATTTATATTTAGGAAAATGGAGAATTGGTGGTTGTTGCTTATAAAGAGGAATGAATGGAGTATTATTTAATTTTTTTTATATAAATGTATAATTTTATTAATTTTTATTTATTATTTCTTAGATTTTATTTTAATGAGCAATAGTGTATATTAAATGGGGTGGAGTTAAAAAATTATTAAATTTTAAAATATAATTAACGAAGTTTAAGGTCTTTCTTAGTTTAAATAAAATATGTTAAAAAAAATTATAATAGGATAAGAGAAATAACTTTAAATTTTTGTATCTCCTTGGCCAAAAAAATTCTATCTCATTCCCGGAAGCTGATAAACCAAAAATTCAAGATAAAAAAACTTAAGAAACTCTTACCCTTGTAATAAAATTAAACTACACATACACGCACGCATGGGTGCAATATAATGACACATGAGGTTCTTTTTTGTCTTTTTTATGCTGACCATTCAAATTCAGCCAACAAGCGACAGACCAGAACCAGAACCATAACATATTCATTCTTCAATTGTACAAAAATGAATGGTTATCTCCACCACTATAGTTAATCAAACTATTAGTATTGTTAATATGTAGTCTAAATATAAAAATTTGTGCGAGCTATTAGTGTGCGTGTGTATACGTGTGTGAACCCCCCCTTTTTTTGATGATGCGTGTGTGAAATTTCATCTCACAGAATTTAAAGTAAGGTCCATTTTCTCTTGACTTAATTTTAAGCGAAATTCATTGATCAATAGATAATGGGTTAATGTGTAAATTTTTTCTAAGAATTTTCACTCGGGAGTATTGGGTATCTGAAAGTTTTTTTTGGGAGTAAATTTAAAAGTTGGGTATCTGAAATTTTTTTGAGAGTAAATTTGTCAGAAAAGTTTAAAATTATAGCAATATTACTCTTATTATAAAAAAAAATTTAAAGTTGACTGTTAACATTTTTAACCGTATGAGATAATATTCTTACAATTTGAAATTTCAAGGTCAAATTTGCTTTTTTTTTTAAAAAAAAAAACTTCCGCAGCACTTTTGAATAAAAACTTCCCCATATATAATTCAACTAAGGCAAAATCATAAGTACTGCGATATTAGGCTTCAGCTTTCGAAGGTCACTTTCTTTTTCGTTTTCAGTTTTTCCATGGGATTGATTACTATGGACAGCTACTGATTATCTGAGTACTGTTTATAGTAAATGGACAAGACATGAAGATTACTTGCGTTTTCATGCTTGCTTCCATTTATATACATAGACAGAGAGACATCATTATTGTGCTTCATGATTATTCTTTATATATATATATATATATATGTTGTCGGTTTGTGAACCAAGCTGATTGCTGCGTAAAAAATTATGAGCTGCTTCTTACTTCTTAGTGGGGATTTGAATTGAAGTAAGGTTGGAAACGCGTTAACATGCATCAAAATCTTGACTTTGGTAGATAATCAGATTCCAATGAATGCACTGATGAAGACCTGTGGTTGGATTATAACCAAGTTTGTGTTGGAGCAATAGGATGCTTCAAAGTAGCATCACACCTTCTTTCATATTGAATGCGTTAGGTTAACTTACAAGCAAGTAAGGGGCAAGAAAACAAGTTAGGAAAATTGCTACGAGATTTCGAACATTAATCACCAAAAATTCTAATCAAATGCATCGTCATTTTTTGCATTAAAACTTATTATTCACTTGTTATAAAATTTTCTAATAATTATATTTATTCCTTGAAATTATACAGTAATTTTGCAAAAGAGTTTGGCACTTGGCCTAGCCTACCCTCATCAATTTAGGTGGGGCTGCATAATAAATGTAAATACATTTTTTTTTTGGAGAAATTTGGTAAAAAATTATTGTTTGAAGACTTAGGGGGTGTTTGGGAAACTCAAAACCATGGTTTCAGAAACATTTTTCCGCAAAACGAGGTAATTCCTCCACATATTTATTTTGTAATCCGTAAAAGCACTTCTAAAACCATGGTTTGGTTTCTATCCAAACACCCCTTTAATTGGCTAAAAAAACCCTAAATTTAAGCTCGTGAAATTATAAACTGTGTGTGCAACTTTTCTTTTATTGTGTACAACATATCTTTCGTTATATGCCAATGACTTCTGTATTGATGATTATTGCACACAGTGAAAGAAAAGTTAAACTTATGGATCATAATTGCATTTGTTCAAATTTAGGTCTTTTTAGCCAATTGAATTTTTAAACAGGGATTTTTAACTAAATTTTTTTTTTCTATCCTCATTATAAAGACTAGTTATGAAATTTCTTTTGGTTTTATTCATAAGCTTTTAACCTACTTTATTTATTTTATTTATTATTTATTTCCTAGGCTACCCCTCGTCAAGGATCAACAACTAAATGCGAATTTAAATCATTAAACGCCAATAGTGGGAGGGGTATTTCAGAGAAATCAGATATGAGTACAACTTTTTCCCAAATTAAATGCAAATGACTCAACCTATGTATGCGTTATGCAATAACAGCTTACAGCAAGGACAGGAGGTAATACTTGATGCAGGGCGGTTCGTAGGCCATATTTAAGGGAGAATGACAGTCAAAACACTTTGATAAAAAAACATTGAAAATGAGGGATGAATTGAGATTGTGATTAAAAAAAATGTTAAAAAAGTATTTAGTATGCGTGATTGTTTATTACTATCTCCGATCCTTAATACAAGACCTTATTTGACTTTTATTTTGATATTAAATATAAGACCCCTAATCCAATTCGTCTTTTATATTTATGTATTTTTTTTCAAAGTAGTCCTTCTAACAATTATAATTCTAGTCAATACACTTGATTAGTAAAGATATTTTAGAAAAGACAATATATATTTATTACAAATAACTAATTTAACTTCTTTCCTTAATCTCTCAAATTAGTCAACTACCTCTTATGATTATGACAGGAGGTAATATTTATTTAGAATTGGACAAATCCATATATGTAAAATTAAGAAATACCATCATACTTATATGAGATTTTTTAACCTCATGTAATAAAAAATTATTCATACTAAATACTCTTTAATAATTTTTTTAATTCTAATCTTTACCCCTCATTTTTAATGTTTTGTATCAAACAGAACCTAGAAAACTGATCTAATAATAATTTAATTGAATCCTGAACTAGTGATATTTGCAGCTCATCTTTAACAAAAAGTTTTTTAATTCCTAATAAAATATGAGTATTTAACTTTTATTTGGCAGGTTTTTTCAAATCGCTTTTATTATCCATGCGAGAGGGGGCGATGGGTTTGGCAAGGGCTACGACCCTTTAAGCTTTTAATTTTCCAAAAGAATTATATAGGCATTATGTGTGCTCCCTTCTTAAAATTAAACATTATATGTCTTTTTTTAAGTTGAGGTTATAAATTTGAACCCGGATATGAGTTATACAGAGAAAACCTGACCGCACAGAATAACCTGACATGCTCATGATTTACATATTGCCAGTAACAACAATTTCTCTTCTTTCTTGATGCCTTCCGCAACATAACATATTACCTGCGGCTGGGAAGGCATAGCCAAAGGCTTACTTGTTAGCAAGAGAAGTTGTAAAAGCACCGCGTGAATCTTCAAATGAAGATCTCAATGGCATTACCAAATTCAGAAGGCTGCTGATGCGGCCAAGGAACTGTTCAAGAGTATCTGGGCAATTGGAAAGGGAAGAAGGCTACTGTTCTAGACATATGTATCATAAATAAGTATACATAGATTTAACTTAGAATGAATAAACATATTTAAAAGAAATATATAGACTTGATACTTGGCCTGCTGAACTTATCTAAGAACTTCTCCATATTGACTTGTAATGGAAACTGAATGCTTTGATTATTGTAATGATAGGTCCGACTGATCGAAAAGCATTATTATGACAACTAAACATCACTCCGCTATAATAATTCTATTATCACAATGCATCTAAGCATAGACGGGGGAAACAATAATATTGGAAGCTCAATCCAATTTTGCATAATCATCCAAGATATCAGCAATCAACTTCGAGACAGAACTCCCTTTGAACTGCATACACAAAACAGAGCATGATATTATAATTTCTTTGCACCATATAGACTAAACAAAAGGCTTGATGACTTCCCATAAGTGAATACAAAAGCACGAATCAAACAAAATGATGATAGTTCCAACGTATACTATGCATCATCAGGACAGATACTAACAGGTATTTTTCAAAAGATTTTATTTTTCCAGTCGGGGTTTGTCCAACAAGAGCCCCAGAGAATGATAAATTGAGAAAATGTTTTGTTAAATACATTGATTCTGGATATTTTTATGAATAAACAAAACCATTGCAGTTTTCATCTCTTGAAAAACGGTATCAGTGATTTAAAATATAAGAAAATCATTTATTTCATTCTTTTAGCAAGGAAAAAATATTGTTCATTATTCCGTCATCTGAATATAGCATATACAAAAGGAACTAAATATCTGATAATAGAGCAGAGAGATCATCCCATCTTGCCATCAGGAAACGAAGAAACTGTAAACAACTTTTAAGCAGTGGTGGATAAGTGATATAGTCGACATAATTTAATACTCCATATCTTAGAATAAATTAAAAATCAGTCCAAACAATATCAGACCTTGGCACAGTCCCATGACGACGTGGATCATACTCTGTTGCTTGTTTGAGAGCTCTAGCAAAAGCTTTGAAAGTTGCCTCAATAATATGATGAGAGTTTTCCCCAGCAAGCTGCGTGAAAAAGATTAAATATTAAAAAGAAAGAAATCATTCAACAACAACAAGAACAAACCTTATCCTACTAAGTAGAGTTGGCTATATAGATTGCATAACGCTATTATACTTTGTCGACAACCAAATCTTTAGACAAATTGTCACTAAAAGATTCTGTTCAATAATGAAGTGTTCTTTTTGGTCTTTTTCTACCACTTTACATAGGATTCAAATTTGTCTGCTCCATCCTCCTTATTAATGCTTCCAATGTTTAAACCACTTTAAGCGATTTTCTACCATTTTCTTCTCAATAGATGTTATGCCGACTCTTCTTCATACATTGGTCATTATGGATCTTATCATTTCTCATATGTTCAGGCATCCATCTCAATCTTCATCCGGGCTACCGCAACTTTATGTTCTTTTTATTCCTTGTAAAGCCCTACATTCACTACTACAAAGCCTGGCTAGTCTTATAACAACTGTTCGATAAAACTTTCCTTGAAACTTATTAGGTACTTTCTGATAACAAATAATTCATATAGCCTTTCTCCATTTGGACTATCCAGCTTGTATTCCATGTGTAACATCCCCATCAATTTCACCATTATTTTGTATAATTGATTCCTATTATCTTAACCTTATCACTTGTGGCATGATATGGTTTCACATTTTAATCTCCAAATCACTTTTAACTTGTCTCTTATCGAATTTTTAGTGCATATATTCTGTCTTATTCCAACTCCAGTGAAAATCCTTCAATTCCAAGATTTTTCCTCATAACTCAGGTTTAACATGATATCTATAACCTTTCGACATCCTTATTCATTCATTTAAGAATTTTGAAAGTTCTAGTCAGTAGAATATGCAAAAACCACAGGCTATAATGCAGGTAAAACAGAAAAATCAAGTGGGTATATCAATGCACTTAGAATATATGAAATAATATGAAATATCTTCTCAGTCATATATGGCATAATTGCAAAGAAGTTTAATATGATATCTATAACCTTAAGTTTATATTTTCACAGTGATGCATTTATAATAGCTACATAAGAAGATTAAAAATGAAATTATACGCATTAATACCTGCCGAATGTGGAGCGTCATACCGGAAGTATTCACTAGAGACTGGAAAAAATGTTCCACCAACTACAAATAAGGATGGCCAGAGAATTTATCAGAATCAAATGAGATTAACAAATAAGGAAAGAGAAATAAGCGCCACAAAAATAACTGTTAATTTGAAGCGAAGGCATTGTGGTTGTTAACTGAAGGGGGGGGGGGGAATGAAATACTAAGAGATGTGCACAACCTGAGTGTCATAGGTTCCAACTCTCTCTGTGGGTATATCCAAATTATAACTTAGATGGGGTCGACCAGATAAATCCTGAAAAAGATAAGTGCAGATTGCCATTGTAAACCATAAATTAAATTATAAGTGAAGCTTATGAATGTCATAAAATTTTGATTGAATGCGATAGAATTGAGGACTAGAACAACTAAGATTAATGAGACTGAGAATATTAGATCATGGAATTGCCATTGTGCTAGAGTCAAGGAACTTTATTTGACATCTTAAAGTCGACGCCAACATTTTCATAGTCCATTTAACATAGGTGTGGGAGTAGTCTACTTCACACTATTTTCCTCCCCAATCATTGGAAAAAAAGGTATATCCAACTTACCAAGGAAACATGTATTAATGCTTCGTCAAGTGGGGCAGAAAAGTCACCAAACCGATATATACCTTTCCTATCACCAAGAGCTTGCAGTATGGCCTGCAAATTAAGTAACATAAAACTATTAATTTCAATAAGATGATAGATGACAGCAGATTCAAAGAGTCTAAACTATGCACAGCCCATGGTTTTCAGATTAGAATATGCATTATAATTGTCAAAGTAGTCAATATCGCTTAGATGCCATGTGCAAGGATGGATGAAAACAAAATGTAAGAGCTTGAGCATAGGGTAACAGAAATTTAGAGTTTTAAAAAGAATCCTTGCTACAGAAGTCACCAAATTGAATCAAATAGTACTTCATTCAAATTCCAAGCCAAAATTTTGCAACTGTCGGTTTATCATAAAATAGAATAATTTTTTATTGGATCAAAAACATATTTTGAATTGGTATGCTGGAAGTACCGTTCCAATAGCAAGAGCAATATCTTCATTCGTGTGATGATCATCAATGTGAATGTCACCAGTTGCCCTCACATGCACGTCGAACAGCCCATGCGAAGCAAGTTGCTGAACAATCAAAAGCAAGTTTAGTTTCAAACTGTTACTCCAAACGTCAATTTTGATTCCGTAAGAGCCATTACTTTAGTTTCCAACATAGGTATTAGAGGAAAATTTCTTAATTTATGATCACATCATGACAAATAGAAACTTCCATTTAACACAGGTAATTAATCAGAAGTGAATTTGTTATTTACTCAACTGATTTCTGCTTACAATGACCTTATGCATTTACATATCAAAGAGCTTAGTAACTAATAACACTTATATGGTCCTATGTATAGTGCTGATGTGCACAATAAGTGTGCCAATACAATTAGGTCCATCTTCTCAATACACATCACAGATGGACATCCCCTTCAATCCAATACTGCAGACCTTGAAAAGAAACAAAAACAAAATATAATCTAGACAAGAGTCGAAATCACTGACATCGAGCATATGATCAAGGAACGGAATTCCAGTGGTGCTATCAGCAACTCCAGAACCATCCAGGTTTATTTTGACCGACACATTAGTTTCTTTTGTGACTCTCTTCACCTCTCCGATTCTAGTAGTTCCTGAAGATGATCAAACAGGCTTACAAAATCATTGTTTCGAGCAACTGAATTCGAAATAGAAAAGCAGAGTCTGGGACAGACCTGAATCAACTGAAGACGTCGTAGTGGATGAACCGTTGTGTTCCACCCAGCCAGCAGAAGAGATAGTTCTGAGAGGGTCCATTCGAATGAGATTACAATGATTTACCGCAGAGATGGAGCGATGGAAAGATGTTGAGGTGGGAAAAAGAGTTCTGGCGAAAACCAGAACCCTAGATTGAGGAAGCAGGAATGAAGGGCACTTCGAAAGACAAGGAGTAGCAGAGCCGAATAGCTCCATCCCAGTGGGAGAATCAGGAAGCAAACCCAGGAAAAAAACCACACTCGTCCGCGGTCACTTACAATATTTTAAATCCACATAATATATATATAGGCAGGTCCCTGCCCTGTCTGGTCGCGTGCAGGAACGAGAAAATGCAGACCATTGGGCATTAGCAATTGGATATTCTTCCGCATAAATATAAAAAGCCTCGAAGAATGATTTTTAGGAGTTACTAGCTCTACGTGTTTGATTTTTATTTTGATTTTAAATATAAGACTACAATCCATTTTATCTCTCATATTTATATTTTTTTTTCGAAGTAGTCTTTCTGACAATGATAGTTCTAGTCAATACAATTAGTAAGGATATTTTAGAAAAGACGATACCTATTTAGGGTAAATAACTAACTCAATTTACTTCCTTAATCTTCTCAAATTAGTCAACTGGCTCTTATAATTAGGACCGGAGGTAGTATTTGTTTTAAAAGACGACCACTCACTCAAGGAATGGAATTTCTGTGGCAGAATCTTTGAGGCCATTGTTTCAGGGGTGTTTGGCTATCTCCCCAAACCATGGTTTGGAAAAAAATTTACCAAACACCCTATAAAAATCTCAAACCATGGTTTTGCCCCCTAAAACCATGGTTTTGGATAAAGCCACCAGGAGCTGCTTCTACTTCAAATTATTGAACGTTGGTGGTGGGTCCAGGAAATGTTACATAGAGCAAGCATCAATTATTCATTTATTTGCTTCCTCCTTCACTCTTCATCGAGCTCCTGATAAGAAATAATCATATTTTTTGTTGGCAAAATAAATTATTTTACAAAAAACATATTTACTTATTTTATTAATATATATACGTATTAATTTTTTTTATTTATATTATTTATGTCTTATTTATTATGTTGTCAAAATATATATTATTAACAAATTTATTACTTCAAATAAACATATATTATGAAATATATCTTATATGTAATTATCATTTAAACTTGTGTCTTTTTTAGTAATTTCTACATATAAAAAAGCACTTCTGACAACAACTATCCAAACACTCTCACTTTATCAGAATCACTTTTTCAGAAAATCTATTCTTTCAAAATTTATTCTCTCAAGAATCTATTCTCCAGAAATTATTCTCTAAACCATGGTTTGGCTTCGTCCAAACACCCTATAAATATCTTGTTATGTTGAATGCATCATTCTTCTTTATTGCATTCTGCTCATAAAGTCAATTTTTAAAGTTCACTGTGTCAACAAACGTTTCATTCATTCAGATTCCAACACACTTGTCACTTTGGCTAGAAACTTTTTCCCTGTTGTTACAATGTTATTTTTATGAATTGCTTTCTTAGCTTTGATTATGTAAGTTTACTTCCCTTTTGTAACCTGTAACTCTTTTTAATTAATTTCATTTTCTTTTTGGTTAGCAAAAAAACAAACGGGAGAATGAGGGTTCAAATTTCAAGCTTTGTAAAAAAAATTATTTTTTTGGAAAAAATTAATTACCATACAATGAAAATTTCTGATGAAGATTTGTTATTAAAATGTTTTTTAATATTTATTTTTAGGAGTTCATAGTAATTTTTTTACAGTTAAAAAAGTTATCAACTCGAGCACTTATCACTGTCAATAATAAAAATAAAATATTCAAACTAAATTAATCCTAATCATTAATTGATATGTAGAGAGTTTAAGATAATTTTTGTCTAACAAGTGGCAAATTCACAGGAAAAACCACCTCAACGGACTCCAAATCAACATCTCGACATGTTTTAGGCCCAAACAAACCGAAAAAGGACCTTTGGCCCAAAAAAAAAATTCCCCTGGCTCCCCTGCGTTTATTTTCTCCGCTGCTCGAGCGCACCGAGGGAAGGGAGCGCTCAAACACAAGCCCTGGCACTAAAAACAATTTCCCCATGCGGTGGGCGAATTTCCAAGTAAATCTTTTGGCACCCTTCATAAAAACTTATTTCCTTCGTCCTAAAGTGACTTGTGGTTGTGTTTTGCTGCACGAAAGGGGAGCAACCACGGTCATGGTGCAGGCAGAAGGAGAAAATTTCAAGTGTGTAGTGTGTGTTTAGCAAGAGGCACAAAGTGAATGTAAGAGATATTCTTCTTGTTATGAATTATAAAAACCTTCGGTTGAGGCATATTATATGCATTCTTATTCAAGCTTGCTTTACAGGCTGCCGCTGTGGCGTTAAGAAGGAAGAAAGATGAAATTTTTTGTGTAAACTTAGCTGCTAGAGGATTGTGTTGCTGAATTCTGAGGTAGCCTCCCACCTTTTCAAAACTTCAAGTTTGGTTGTTGAATTAGAATAGTCGTGATCCCATGAGTTGTTCTCTTATGGCAGCAATTAGTGCTAAACTACAGCCAAGAAAATTTAAGATATTTGATCAATAAGTCAGTGGAGGAATAGGAAGAACATAACATGAGGATATTACCTTTTGGTCGGACTTGAGTTGTGTGTTTGGGAATTTTGTTGATTGGCACAAAAATGGGATTCATGGAAATTGGTATGCTAAAAATCTGAGCTCTTGAAAGGTTAAGAAACTGCGGTATGCGGAACACGTTGGGTATGCATGAGTTGTGAAATGTGATGGGATTTTGATGTATGTATGTGGGCTGTTTTTTGCTTTACATTTGAGCTGATAAAATGGAGTGGGCTAAGTACATTTAACGTTTGCTCTTATTTCCTCAGTAGGCTGCTAACTTGTGGCTGTTTAACTTAATCAAAATATTGCAAATGAGGGGTGATTGGTTTTTGGATCCGAAGATTTGCGTATAAGACAGGGTTTGGCCCTTGTTTTTTGTCAGAAAAAAATATTATCATAACTTAATTGAAGATCTACACATAATAAAACCAATGGAAAGGCACCAGAGTAAGAATTTATTCAAGATTTAAGTGGAAGGGGAAAAGCCTTAGTTTAGAATATGTTGAGTTTAGGTGTTACATGAGTTATTAAAAAATAGTCTGTGTTTTTGTCTTTTAGTTCTTAAGATATTTTAATATGGGTGATTCCTTCAGTGGTTTAACCAGAGTTATAAATAAAGTCCGTTTTACAATCCATGAAAATACCAATTTCAGGTTAGTGACATTGTGTTAGATTTCCTTGCCAGCATAGCATGCGTTGCAAAGTAGAGATTTTGTTCTTTTCCCCCCGCCCCCCGGGGGGGATTGGACGCATTGATATTTCAGCATGATTTTACTGTTTTATATCCATTATTCCTGTATCTTTTGTTGCTAGATGCTTTCAAGTTTCAGATTGAATTTATCAAGTTCTCAACAACTTGAAATTTGTGGGCACGGTGATGGAGAACCCCAAACCACATTCGGCTGCCTCCCATTCAGATTTATATGTCTATCTCCTCCAAGCAGGCATCAAATCCAGAGACACCTTCATTGGAAGATTGGTTCATGCTCGAATAATCAAAGAAGGGCTTTACCTGGGCATCTTCTTGATGAACAATCTCGTTAATTTCTATGCCAAAACTGGGTCGGTCTTTGATGCTTGCCATCTATTCAATGAAATGTCAGTGAAGAGCACATACTCTTGGAATACAATTCTCTCAGCATTTGCCAAAGGTGGCAACATGGAAGCTGCACATCACATTTTCGATGAAATTCCTGAACGTGATTCTGTTTCCTGGACTACCATGATAGTGGGTTATAACCGGATGGCTCTTTTTAATAATGCAATACAGCTGTTTTTGGGGATGATTTCAAATGGAATTTTGCCAACTCATTACACATTTACGAATGTTCTTTCCTCGTGTGCTGCAATTGAAGCACTAGATATTGGCAGGAAGGTTCACTCCTTTATTGTGAAACTTGGGGTCTCCAGTTTCCCTCCTGTAGCAAATTCATTGCTTAATATGTATGCAAAGTCTGGGGATTCAATGACTGCGAAGGTTATTTTTGACAGGATGAGTCTGAAAAACATATCTAGTTGGAATACTGTGATTTCGATGCATGTACAATTTGGTCCACTTGACCTTGCTGTTTCTCTTTTTGAGCAAATGACTGAAAGAGATGTTGTGTCCTGGAATTCAATCATCTCTGGGTACAATCAGTGGGGATTCGACATAGAAGCCCTTGAAACCTTCTCTTGTATGATTAGTAGTTCTGCCCTGAAGCCAGATACTTTCACTTTGACTAGTATATTATCAGCTTGTGCCAATCTTGAAAACTTGAAATCTGGGAAGCAAATCCATGCATATATGATAAGAAGTGGCATTGACATCAATGGGATGGTGATAAATGCACTAATCTCAATGTATGCGAAATCAGGTGGCATTAAATTTGCTCGAGGAATTGTTGAACTAACCGGTACTTCAAATCTCAATATTATAGCATTTACATCCCTATTGGATGGCTATGTCAAAATTGGGGATGTAGAGTCAGCCAGAGATATATTTGATTCAATAAAAGGCCTTGATGTAGTTGCTTGGACGGCCATGATCGTTGGCTATGAGCACAATGGCTTAGTAAATGATGCTTTAGAGCTCTTTAGATCAATGATTAGGGAAGGTCCGAAGCCAAACAGCTTTACTCTTGCAGCCATATTAAGTGTTATTTCAAGCTTGGCTTCTCTGGATCTTGGCAAGCAAATTCATGCAACTGCCATGAGATCGGGAGAAGTATCATCAGTTTCTGTTGGTAATGCTTTGGTTAACATGTATTCAAGAGCAGGAAGTGTGAAAGATGCAAGGCAAGTATTCAAACAGATATGCCGCCATAGGGATACCGTGTCATGGACTTCCATGATTATAGCTCTAGCTCAGCATGGTCTTGGGAAAGAGGCCATAGAGTTGTTCGAAAAAATGCTGAAATTTAATATAAAGCCTGATCACATCACTTTTGTTGGTGTGCTATCTGCATGCACACATGTGGGATTGGTAGAACAAGGGAAGCGCTATTTTAATTTGATGAAAACCATTCATCATATTGAACCCACCCGTAGCCATTATGCATGCATGGTTGACCTATTTGGACGTGCTGGATTGCTTGAAGAAGCATATAATTTTATAAAAAATATGCCTATCGAACCAGATCATATAGCTTGGGGTTCTCTTTTGGCTTCCTGTAGGATTCATAAAAATGCAGATTTGGCTAAAGTGGCAGCTGAAAGGTTGCTTCTTATTGATCCCAACAACAGTGGGGCTTATGCAGCACTTGCTAATACGCTTTCAGCCTGTGGAAAGTGGCAAGATGCTGCAAAAGTTAGAAAGTCAATGAAGGATAATGCAGTGAAAAAAGAACAAGGATTTAGTTGGGTACAAATCCAGAACAAAGTCCATGTTTTTGGGGTTGAAGATGGGCTTCACCCACAGAAAGATGCAATCTACAACATGATTTCAAAAATCTGGGAGGAGATAAAGAAAATGGGTTTCACTCCAGATACTGATTCTGTACTGCATGATCTTGAGCAAGAGGTGAAGGAACAGATCCTTAGACATCATAGTGAAAAACTTGCTATTGCATTTGCATTAATAAATACTCCAGAGAACACCACACTGAGGATCATGAAGAATCTTAGAGTTTGTAATGATTGCCATTCCGCCATAAAATATATCTCTAGGCTTGTAGCCAGAGAGATTATAGTTAGAGATGCTACCCGTTTTCACCATTTCAAGGACGGTTCTTGTTCATGTCAGGATTATTGGTAGAGGAAAGGACAAAATTTTCAAGTTGAGTATGACTGCAAAATTTGTCAAAACATAGTTTACAAGTAGTTGTTGTATTGCATCTGAAACACGAAAGCATGTATACATATGCTGTCATTTTCACCCTTCTATATTGTATTAATTGGCCCTTAACTGAGGTTTTGCTTCATACGTAAAGGAACAACTATGACAAGAATTTTAAATTAGTTGCTTGTGCTTTGAGGTTCAATGTTATGATCCATGCCTAGTCAACGGTCTGGATGGAGAGCCACTCATGATCTTCACATGATGTAATTTCTTTGATTTGGTGCAGGTAGGTGAGAATGTAGACGACTGCTTTGTTGATTATTCGATTCTTCTTCCCAATGTATCTAGGTTAGGTTGGGAAGTTTTGAGTAATGAGTGTAGAATCGTATCTGAACTTCAGCAATGAACGTGCTGTGAATCTTAGTTCAACGGTCATGATTCCTTCTTTGAACAAATCATTTCCTGTCTTTATACACAAACACCAATCTTCTGATGCCAATGCCCTTTGAATAATTGGGATTTCCGCCGCAATTCTTTTAGGCAGACCGTAACCTCTTTTTCTTTTGTTTTTTTCCCCCTTTTCTTTCTTTCTTTCTTTTTGGAGAATATATCATTGCTGGATTTAGATTTTAGTAAGAGATAATGAGAGTTTATTCCAATCATCTGTCAACTAAACAAATGCTTCAAATTACATGAAATAAAATGCACTGTTTCATATGAATTCTTTTACATGAACTTAGATATACTTTATGGCTATTTATGAGAAATATTAATTAAGATACAATTTTTCTTTATTACGATTATAATTGATCACAACCATAAAACTGTAACGAGTGCAAATTAGATTAGTTAGTGGAAGAAAAAACATAGAACGAAGGGAATTAATTAGCAGAAGAAACTAGAAGGGGTGTGTGCGTGGGATCATGCGGTCAAAGTCAACATTTGGTAACGAGGAGAATTTGTGGGCGCAGAGATAGGTGTGTACTTCCTTTAATTTCTCAATAATTTAATTGTTAGAAAATTATATTGATAGGGTAAATTGTTCGATTTTGTCAAAAAAAAAATTAAAAACAAATCAAAGATATTCGAGCAAAACGTTATAGCTATTCAAGGTTGTAAATAAAATTAATGAAAATTCATTGAAGGCTGGGTCAATGAATATATTGGCCTAAAAAATATCTGGAGAGGCCTAATGTAATTCATCAAAATATATACTAGTATTATATTTTCAATTCACAATTACTTTTCCCAAAATTGTTTGGGAATGCATGCGGGATACCACCTTCAATTTTTAATATAAAAGTTAGTTTGACATTTAATTTATTTCTAAATTAAGATTTCAATCCACTTTATCTCTCATATTTATTTATTTTTTTAAGGTAGTTATTGTAGTAGTTGTTCATATCAAATGCTTCATCAAATGGTAGTTCTAACTAATACATATAATTAGGAAGGGTATTTTAAGGATAATAACACATATTTATTGTAAATAACTAATTTAACTAATTTTTTTAATTTATTCAAATTAACCAACTAGTTTTTATATTTAAAAATGAAGGTGGCGTGTGTATATATAAAATATAAAGAAAAAGGTAACAAGGTCGTTGAGGGTGGTGGTAATATCCTCTTGGAGCACTTGAGGGTGCCATGGTGGGCTCGTGTGTTTAGTGACAATATCATGAAAGTTCTTGGATAGTAATGTTAAATGCAAACTAGCAAATAGAATAGAGTGAGCACTCCTTCCCATCTTTGTTGGGAGGGCATTTTTCAAAAGTAATTTTTAATCTTAAATATAAGTTGCTAATTACGTCATCAATTGTCAGCAAAAAAAACTAACTCATCAATTACTGTTTTCTCATTTTCTCATTAATTCAGACTGAATGGAAGTGCATCTGAGAGCGTGGAGCTGAAGCTGAATTTTGTTCATTGTGACTGAAGGATTGAACATCCATTGATGAATTTTTAACTTAATTATATAAAATAATTAAATACGTTTTTGTTTTTTTGAGGGGAGAGAAAGAAGCAGATTGTCACACCCAAAAATAAAAGATAAAAAACAGAGAGGAAGCAAGAAACGGAGCATGAGAAAGCGGGGCGACCAAATGATGAAGTGTCGAACAGGAAGGTAGGCCACGTCTTTGAAAATCATTCATGAGGAGCCCCTCTCTGTTCACACCGCGTGCTTGTGTTTTGGCGCGTGCTCCGTTTTATTTTTACTAAAATTAGCTCTTTTTTCCCTCTTATTATTCCTTTTTACCCCTTTTTCTTGTTTTCTTCTACACAGCAAAAGCTACCGAAATCTGCAGTTGGTTGCAACCTTTATTCCTATTAAAAGAAGTTCCCAATTTTCACACCAAAATAAGAAACCCGACACAACAACAACGATTGATGATTGATTAAAACGTCGCCACCTCATTCCTACATCGTCATTCCAACACTCGATGCCTCACCCTTTGAGCTGTTAAGCTTCTCCACGCGACAGATTACTCTCTCTCCCTCCCTCGTCCCCTTCCTCTTCATTTTGCCCCCAGAGTCCATACGGTCCCCTTTCCCCATCCTTATCTCTCTCTCCCTCTCTCTTCCTCTAAGGGGACCCCCATGGCTTCATGAGCTTGAGATTTCTGATGGGGTTTTCGTTCTGAAGAAGAAAAATTCATTTGGGGCTCCAAGTTTGACACTTTTTTTTCTTTTCGTGAATCTGGTTGGGAATTGGATTGGATACTGTGTGAGCTTGAAGTTTGGGGCTCTATCTGAAGGAGGATTGAGAATATCTTTAAGTTTTGTGAATATTGTGGGATCCAGAGATGTCTGCGGGGGCATCTTCTTATTGGTGTTACAGATGCAGTCGGTTTGTGAGGGTCCGGAGGCAGGACGTGGTGGTGTGTCCCGACTGCGACAGTGGATTCGTGGAGGAGATTGAGCAAATGCCTCGGCCTGCATCCATTGTGGATTCGCGGCCGCGGAGGTTCCCGGCGGCTTCTATGTATATGATCGGCAACAACCACCAGAATTCTGGACGCACTCTGCGTCCTGCTTTGAGGAGGGCTCGTCGGAGCGGTGGCGATATTTCTATGGTTAATCCGGTTGTCGTGCTCCGTGGATCTCCTAACCGGGCGAGTCATGATTCCGGCGGTGGACATGGGCGCGGGTTCGAGCTTTACTACGAAGACGGCCCTGGCTCCGGTCTCCGGCCTCTGCCTCCTAACATGTCAGAGATTCTTCTGGGATCTGGAATTGACAGGCTTCTGGAACAGCTTTCTCAGATAGAAATGAACGGTATTTCGCGATACGAGCCACCTCCGGTTTCCAAAGCCGCTATAGATTCATTGCCGACGATCGAGATTCACGAGAGCCATCTTGCGACGGAATCACACTGCGCCGTCTGTATGGAGCCTTTTGAATTGGGCACAACTGCTCGTGAATTGCCTTGCAGGCACATTTACCATTCGGAATGCATCTTGCCGTGGCTCGCTCTCCGGAATACGTGCCCTGTTTGCCGGCAGGAACTCCCGGCAGATACGCAGAACGTTAATGGTCCTGTTTCCGGGCATTCTCTCTCTTGGAACGACGATGACAACGTGGGATTGACCATTTGGAGGCTTCCTGGTGGTGGCTTCGCGGTGGGCAGGTTCGCCGGTGGGAGAAGAAGCTCTTCTGATCGTGAGCTTCCTGTTGTGTACACAGAAATGGACGGTGGCCTTGGAAACGGCGGCGAACCGAGGAGGGTGACTTGGTCGACGACGACAGAGAGTCGAGGAAGAGACAGTAGTGGAGGTGGAGGATTCCGCAAAATGTTTCGCAATCTTTTTGGTTGCTTCAGCCCTGGAGCTCGAGCTCAATTCTCCGCTTCTTCTTCATCTTCTTCTTCTTCTTCCCCAGAACCTCGAACCTTCAGGAGTAATATCTCTCGTTCTCGTCCCATCGTGAATACCACAATGCGCTCCCGAAGAACCTGGTCTCTGGATGGCAACGGCGGAACCAGACCTTGGTAACATAACAGAGGGAAAACCAAGAAGAAGAAAAAAGTCAGAACTTTGTTTCGGGGTTCATCAACTGGTTCAATTGACTGTTTTGTTATATATTCAAAACACTGAATCCCCATTTTTATCTTCTAAACATGGTCCAAACTATCACTAGCTCTGTTCTTCAGAAGGTAAAACATAGGGTTTTAGTCTAGATTCAAGCATGGTGGTGAAAGTGCACAAGGGAATTGGGTCTAAGCGGGACGAAAAGCACTGTAACAGGGTTAAGCAATTCGAGATATGTACTGAATTGTAAAGGGCTTGATTTTTTTTGTATGTGTCAGAGAGCAGAAACGAAGCAGCAAAACTGGGAGAAAACCCCGTACTGTATATTGGCTTTTGTGGTGGCAAGGAAGGGGAAAGGGGACTTCTCACCATAGTCATCACAACATTTGTATTTTCTGTAGCTATAGCTTCAGGTCATGTTTCAAGTTGATTAAAAATTTGTTGTTGAGAGTATATATATAATCTTATACCAAAATCATAGCAATCTATTGTCTACTTTCCCTGTGCTCTCTCAATGAACAGATGATGTTTATGGCTGCACCTATGAGTTAAGTTACTTGAAAGTAGCAACTATTCCTCCGGTTTTTAATACAAAATATATTTATTAATTTAATTAGATTAAGAAAACTAGATAAATTAGTTAATTATAAAAAATATGACATGTTTTTCATAAAACATCACAACCATCTTCCTTAATATCTTCCTTCTCTCTTTTACTTGATTATGATTGAGGAAGTATCTATAGGAGTAATTTAAGAAAAAAATAATAAATATGAGAGATAGATCTTATATTTATGATCAAAATCAACTTAATAATTAGATTTTATATTAAGAATAAGAGAAATATGATATAAAAGTCAGGAACCAAGTGGGGCACACTTGCACGTTGATTCGGCTCCACCATTCCTGTGTATCAGCTGGTAGTAGGTGCCAATCAAGACGCATTTGACTCAAGCTACATATAATTATCCATTCACATAAAGCCCATAGTAATTTGATATTTTATATATTGATTGGAGTTAGTGCTGTGTGTTTATGCCAGTGTCCATTCTAGTCTCTCTCTGACTCGGATTCATCAATCAGTGTTGGCTGAAGGCTGAGGCGCTGGGGAAAAAGTGGAAAAGGACGAAGTCGGACACATGCTTTAACCTTTACTAAGGAAATTAGGAAAAGGTGGAAAGGGAGGGATCTTATGCTATGGCATATTTGTGTTTCCATAGAGGGAATATGCCCATTTGTTTCAAAGAGAAAGTCCTCTTTTCTCTTCTAACTCCTCTCTTTTTTTAATATTAAAAAAATTAATTGAGTTAATTATTTATATTAAATATGTGTTAAAATTTTGAAAAAAATTATTTTTTAAATTCTTCAACTTTTATAACTTAATCTTTTAACTATAACTCAATTCTTCAACTTTTGACTCATTTGTAAGTTAATTTTTTATCTTTTTATTTCTCTTACATTATTATCCTTATCACCTATTACTCAATCATTACTCATCTTGTGTGCTTCAGCTCCACGTAATTATTTTATAAGATTTAAACTAAATAATGAAGAACCGAGTGATTCTGCTCACATAGGAGTTCGCCGGCAAAATCGCTAAGATTAACTCCGACTTGCTTCAGACGGAGGAGGCCGTGAAGAAGAGAGCTGTGCGAGTACGTTGGCTTGAAGGAAGACGAGGCGAAGCACAAATGAAGGAAAATCAATGGAGAAGAGAAATCGGCTCTGATCTGATCAAAGCGTTTTCGGAAGAGTAGGGTCCGAACTTGCATCCCTTATCTATGAGATTTGCTAAGAAGATGATGGAGGAGTATTTGTGAGGAGAGTTCATCTATGAAATACTCCGTGCAATCCAGCCGCAACTAGGAGATATGAAGTCTCCCCCAGTTCATGTTCAATCACTAACACCAATGCATCATCCACATCACAGACCACAGATGCTAAATGGGCATCACCAGCGAAGAACGTGAAGGACTGCTAAGAAACCCATTGACATTGCCATTCACCAGCATTGGAACCCCATTCCGTGCTCTCTAGTCTTTCATTATTTTGTTTAAATTTTATTGTGAAGAAGCCATGTGGAACTGAGTTGGAGCCACATGAGATGAGTAATAACTAAGTAATAGATGATAAGGATTATGATGGAAAAAAAACAAAAAAAAAACAAGAGGCTAAGTTGTGAATAAGTTAAAAGTTGAGTAACTTAGTCATAATGGGTTATAATTGAGGGATTGAATTACAAGTGATTTAAAAGTCAAATGAGTGGAAGATTAATTTTTCCTAAAATTTTTTACAATACCATTTCTAACCACATGAATTTTAAACACCCTTTAATAGAAATTCTTTTGTTATGTGTAATTAATATGGATAATATGAAAAAAGAGTTATAAATTTGGAAGACCAATTTAATTGAAGCCTTATATTTTTTAAAATAAATATCTTGTTTAACTCTTATATTTAGCAACGAAAGTAATACTCCTCCGGTCCTTATTATAAGACCCAATTTGACTTTTTATTTGGTCCTAATTATAAGACCCAATCCATTTTCTCTCTTATATTTATGCATTTTTTTCCAAGATAATCCTTCTAATAATGATAGTTTTAGCCAATATACTTAATTAGCAAGGATATTTTAGGAATAACAACACTTATTTATTATAAATAACTAACTTAACTTACTTCCTTAATCTCCTCAAATAAGTCAATTGGGTCTTATAATTAGGACCGGAGGAGTACTATTTATTTAGGTTTATAGCATCGCCACGCTGTAGTAGTATATAATGGGCTTCGTATGGGTTTGTAAACTGACCAATTTTTCAATCATTAATGATAAGTTTAGGTTCTCTTTGGTGTCGGTTTCATTTTGTTGGCCTTTAAAAACACAAGAAGAGGAAGAAGCCCGTCATCTCATCAGGTTGTTTGGAAATTTTTGGAAGTGCAAGGTTGTATGTTTGATTCTGTTAATAACTTTAAGCCCTTGACTAATATGCTGTTTTGTATTATTGTACTGCCTCCAGTTTTTGTGTAAGAAAAGAAGCCCGCAAAATAAAACTAATACCTCCCCACATGATCCGTATCCACGAAAGCCTTCAAACTCTATGGACATATGTCAAAAAAAGAATGCTGGGAGAGGCCCATCTTAGCAAGTGCATCAAAAGTTTTACCAACAAGATTGGGTCTAATAAAAAAGACTAGTCCTTCATAACGTGACGAACTAAGGTTTGAATCTTTACTAAGAGAGGTGTCCACGTTTAGCACCTAACAGTATCTCGAATAGGATTACCTCCAATAGAAGGATACATATGCTTTAACAAAAAATATACTCCTCCGGTCCTTAATATAGGACCCAATTCTTGAGTTGGTTTTTGTCCTAAATATAAGACCCATTTATCATATTTATCAATTTTCTCTAAATTACCCTTATGGATACTCCCTCAACCATAATCAAGTAGAAGAGGGAGAGAGGGTATTAAGAAAGATGATTATGGTGTTTTAGGAAAAATGTGTCACTTTTCTTATAATTAACTAACTTACCTAACTTCCTTAATATAATCAAATTAGTTAAATGGGTCTTATATTAAGGATCGGAGGAGTATATATAAGACTTCAATTTATTTTATTTTTTATATTTATTTTTTTAAAATAGTCCTTGTAGTAGTTACATATATTAAAATTTTTATCAAATAGTAATTGTAACTAATACATATCATTTGTAAGGTTATTTCAGATAAGACAACATCTGTTTATTACAAATAATTAACTTAATTAATTTTTTAATATATTCAAATTAGTCAATTAACTGCTATATTAAAGACTAAATGTAGTAGCATGTTAGAAGTAAAAAAAAAAAAGAATGGAAAAAATGATTAATTGATTCATATAGAATGAAGTCATGAACTAAAAAGGCACAAATTTCAAAATAAAAACATATTATATATTTCCCCATTTTGATTAGAGGGCAAAGGTGCATTTGGCACTTTGATCTTATTGTTTTGGCTTTTTTGGTGCATTCAACATTTTGATATTATTTTTTTTAGTTGCAGTCACTATTCTTAAAAAAGATTGGGGTGTTGGATGCATCTTTACATTTGATTACATGTATTGTTTCTTATATTAATTCAAGAGATTTAAATATTAGTCAATTTATTTTCAGTTTTTTATTTCAAGGAAAATGTCATATTCATATTAAGTTTAATTTTTTTTCAGCCACGCTAATTGAAAAAATTCGTCAAAAAGATTACAAAATTAATTGTGCAAAGATATCTAAAATTTATTGAATAAAATTTTTCTTTAATCACGCGCAACTCACCTTCCAAATGAGAAATTTTTGAACATTTTTTTCATCAATTTTCAGCCATGTAAATTCAAAAAGAGAAAAGCCACGTGGCCAAAATGGGGTGGGTAGTGAAAGAAAAATCAGATGAAGCGAATGCTGCCGAACGCATATATAAGTTTTAAAATAATATTATTATTGTCAGTACTGTTCTTATTATTAATTATATTGTCCAAAACCACAGCGAACATCGAACGCGTCGTCCTGGTGGCAACGCAGTTTCTGATCACCTGAGCCTGCTGGAATACGTAATCTAATTTTGTAAGTGTCTCTCTCAGATCATCACTGAAGCTTTCACGAAGCATTGAATCGGTTTCCCCTCGTAAACAAATGCTTGCTGTACTTTTCTGGTATTATTTTTTGTCGTAATTTCTTCAAAATGTTGAGTCGACGAACGTGATTTTGAAATTGGGGTTTCTTTGTTTTGATTATACGGATGATCTGATACTTTTTATTTTTCTTTTGATATTTTGGACGATCTGAAGTTGATGCAATGTTATAAGCAAGAATATATGACGGACTGAATGGCCCTGGGAAATACTCGAGTGATTAATTATTTATAGTATTTCTTTGAGTGTGGGCGTAGAAATACGCGTATTCAATCTACGCAACGAGCATCGATAAAAGAAATGGTGGACATTTTTTCATGGACACGGCCATCAGCGTACTGCGTTAACAAATTTGTTTTTGTGATTATTGACGTGATTTGGTATCAAGATTGTGATATTTGATTATTGTGGGGGAAAACTCACTTTGGAGCAGCAAATCATGCAATTCATAACTGGATTTGGCTGATGATCATTTTTAAATGGGTGGAGTGTGTCAGAGTGACTCCAACATTATAGAAGAGGGATCTATATCTCTCACCTGATTCTGTCAAAGTAGGTGTTGTATTAACCATTATAATTGCAGCAGGTACAATACAATTTCCCTAAAAATGCTGCATCAGATGCAGAAATATGTTGTAGGAGTGTGGTCTTTCTGAAAACTATAGCCAACGAAGTTGCAACGATATAAGTTATTCATTATGATTCCAACTTCCATTGTGTTTGTCTTGCCTAAGTGGTTTATGATTGACACCATCAGTGATTGTGTCTTATTGTAACTTCTAGTTCTGGACCTGTCAAGTTCTGGAGAGATAAGGGAATAGATCTAAATTTCATGAGTCTTGTTGGAAGTTGTGCTTTGAGATTATTATCAAGTAGTATTGGGTTGCCTTCGTTTTAAATGTATTTGTGGAATTTGTACCTCTTCATTTTCTGGCATCAACATGACAATATCATGTCAGATATTATGATACTACCATGTCGAAAGAAGATAAACTAAGAGGTGTGAGTTGCATACAATCTCTCTTTGAATTTTATTATTGGGCCTCTTACCCTATGTCTATCTGTCTCCAAGACTCAAACATGATAGGATTATATCGGCATTTAAAAAAAAAAAAGAGGATCCATTCTGGTTTTAAGTGGCAGAACTCATTTGTTTGAACCATATAACTCGTTGCTCAATGCTACAGCTCTCAGCCATACCACATGCGAAGTGTTGCAATGTATATGGAGCTGCCTTACACAAGTTAGTTTTGTGTAGCTATAGCTCATGTTGCATATAAATAGGGGGACAATAGAACTAATTTAAGTGATTTTGCGTAGGCTACTGCTGGGGATTCTTTTGATTCATCTTTGGACTAATTTATATTTGATGATTTAGCACTACTTAAACATATCAAGAGCACAAGAGGTCAATGCTGTCCTCATTTCATGCTTTTGTGTGGCGCTACGATTGTGATATGTGCCATTAATGACCATTTCCTGAACAATGTTAGAACTAACATCTTGGAACGTGCATGATACTCAACCCAGAATTGGGGAAAGGCCACTTGTTTAAAAATAAGATGGAAAGAGGTCACATATTTCATAGTTCGTAGTGGATTCAGTTGTAACAAACGCGTGCATGAAAGTCCCTTATTTACATATGGAAAATTTCTAAGGATGTGTTAGCGTAAGTTAATATATGACTGTGATGGGTTTGTGGACCTGGGCCCAGGTCTAGAAGTGAACTATAGTTTAGTCTGCATTGATGTACTGATATATAATTCATTTAACTCAATATTGAGATCAAGACTGGAATGAAGTGAATTCTCTAGACTTCGATATTTACAAGATATTGAGGGGGTGATCCTGAAAGAATGCTAGAGGCACTATATTTTGATATGATATCCTAGTATCGTTTTTGTGAATTATGTTGAACTTTTCACTTGAGCATGTATTTGCAATTGAGTATTGTTTTCTGACTATGATTATCTGATTTTCTGAAGTATTGTATATAATCTGTTCCAGTTAACGGTGGAGTCTCAATTCACGTTTCCTAAGCAGAGTCATGAGCTTTGTTTTGAGAGGAACAAGAGCAGACATAGAAAGCGGATTTCCTGGATTTATTCCTGAGAGGCATGCATTGGTATGTAATTTGTGTCTTGGTGTAACACCTATAACGATATGCTCTGTTTTGTGTCATGAATAAAATTAAAGTAGTTTGTGTGTAGTTATTGAGCAGTGTTAACCAAGGATTGAATTGATTTTGTTTCTTCTTCAGCGTGTTCATGCAGCACGACCTACTAATTCCAATTCACTTACTTTTCTTGTCACAGGTACTTTCAAAATATCACTGTATTATTTTTGTAGATATTTTATTTATATGTGATTTGATGTGTCATGTATATCTTACAATTTGTTTCTTTCAGTTCTTCTGCTATTCATGATACTGAACTCTCACCAGATGTCACCAAATTTTCTGGTATGGCCATCCTGCCAAATGATAACACTCTGAGGAATGCATTCTTTTTTATATGAATAGATGAATTTAAAATTATTAAATTGATTTGAGCTGCTGTACTGATATATGTTTGTAGCTTTGGCTAGTGCTAGCTGTCTTCTTAATGGCTACAATGTTGAGGATGTACGCAACTTGTCAGCAGCTTCAAGCTGAGGCTCATGCCCATGCAGGAGCAGGCAGTGGTGGACTTCTTGGGCACACTGAAGTACGGTTACATATGCCACCATCAATGGCACTTACCACCCGAGGACGTCTACAAGGCCTAAGACTTCAGCTTGCACTTCTTGATCGGGAGTTTGATGATTTAGGTTTTGTAGTTTTATCTATGATAGAATTCCTATTGTGCTAGTACTTAAAAAAAATTTCTCTATTGTAATGTTTTGTATTTAGAAATGTTAGATATTTTGTTCATGTGCCTTTTTTTTTCGTTTTTATTTTCAGATTATGAAACTTTAAGAGCGCTGGATTCAGATAATGCTCCGCCTGCACCTTCTATGACTGATGAAGAGATAAATGCTCTTCCTGTTCACAAATACAAGGGTTCTGGCCTCCAAAAGTACGTAGTCAGTCAGATCAGTCGTTACATTCTTACTAATTTTAAAATTTTATGAGTTATCTTCAATTATAGAACCACTTATCTGATTAGAATTTTTTTTAAAAATGATAGTTTCCTTGCCAGGAAAGGCATGTCCAAATTTTCCGTACATATATTTCAAATATTTCTAGCTAACGTGTATTTTCAATATGTTGCTACAATAGTTGCATTGCATATTTTTAGCTATAAATGTAAAGGTGAATAATGTGAGAAATCTTCTGTTTATTCTTACATCGATTGAAGGACATCATATGCTACATTGATGAATTCTAGAATCATATTACTTTTTGGGTTTGGCCATTGAGTTGCATTTCTATATGCATACTGACTGTTTAGTGCTTTAATAGAAGAATAGGCGGGGTAAACTTAGAGAATTGTTTAAAACTGATTAAAAAAAAAAAGGGAATATACTCCATGTTTTGTGAATTGCCAGAGTACGTACTTCTGGAATTATGGTACTGAATGCTGATTATCTGACAAGAAACTGCTTCTGTTTACAGCAGGAAATCCTCAATGCAGCAGACCTCATCTTCCACTTTTGCCGAGGTAACCCAAAGATCATTGATCCTTTTTCATTGGCCAAAAGATCAAATGAATTACTCTACTTGTTAAAAGATCAGTGATTCTCCGAGGCGTCGTTCTTCTGCATTTGTTTCCCATATCACACACTATCCCTTATTTTAAGGTTAAATTCCTTTACTTTGGTGCTAGATAGATGTGTTAGAATCTACACTTTTTTTCTTTTTTTAAATTATCATCCCATTTGAAATGCTTAATTCTCTCAAAAAGAATTTTTTTTTTGGGTATCAATTTTTATATTCCCTGGAAGAGAATTTATATAATAAAGTTCATAGCCTGCGCATAAAACGTGTACTGCATTTTACCACACTTTCATTGGCAAGTTTTTCATTTTCTGAGCTGTTAGTAGGCAATTATAGATCAACTTAATATCTTCTTTTATGGCAGAAGAAGCATGATACATCAAATGCAGTTGGTAGTACAAAAGCCTCTGATGATGAGCTGACCTGCAGTGTATGTTTGGAGCAAGTTAACGTTGGGGATCTACTCCGTAGCTTGCCCTGCTTACATCAGGTTCACACTGTCATAGCTTCTATGCATAATTTTTTCAGCACACCCTTCTGGTTACCATTTTATTTTATGTTTTCTTTATCTGTCTGCAAGCTATCATCCGAGTCAGTTTGAAGATGAGAAAACAAAATCAAGTTGCTTTAAACTGTTTGAAGTAGAGCAAAACATGCTTTCACCATTGAAGAGTCTAAAATGGACTGGACCTGATGAAGTGATTATTAGTTTATTCCTGGCATTCCCATTTTCGGTCAATAACTTAAGTTGTTCCATCACATGCTGAGTCAGTCATATTATCTTCTTTGTTTTTTAAGTTTTACAGTCATATTCTGTTTTATAAAGCATTCATTTGTTTACTAGACCCGTTCGGGAATGCTATGATCTCCATGCACATGCGATTGCACTGCTCAGCTTTAGTGATGTTTTTAGGTCGACGTGTTCTGTTAGGGCAGTCTTGTTAACATTATTGCACTACTCTCTTGAGAAATTGAGCAAATCCTGTGGATATGCTGAGATTACTATTCATAATTTGTTCTCTAATTCTGATGCTTAAACCTGGTTTATGTTCTTTGAAGTTTCATGCCAATTGCATCGACCCATGGCTGCGGCAACAAGGAACATGTCCTGTATGTAAATTCAGAGCAGGATCTACGTGGCATGAAAGTGAACAGAATGAAGTTGATGCTTCGGACATGGTTTGAATACACGTTCTTTTTTACGAATATGTTGATACAGTCAACTTTAACATACGCTTTTGCTGCAAAACCAGTGGTTTATGACTACTATTGGTGTAACTACCTTGACAAATCCACATAGGCAATGAGTAATAGTAGAATACAGTGTAACAACTAAATGACTTCTTTTGTTTGAGATTGCTCAGTTTCTTTGACCCTCTAAAATTAATAGCTTATCCGCCCTCTCATCATCATTCAACCCCGGTTAGATGTATGGTGGGGGGGGGGGGGGGTGGGGGAACCAGTTAGATGCAGTTGGTATGGATTGCTTTGTTTTTTAAATTTTTTTGAGAAAAATGTGGAAAAGTCTTTATCAAAAATTTTATTGATGAGAATAACCTGATAAATTTTTATGCACACATACCATTTTATTTTTGAATGAGGAATTTTCTCGCGCTTCTTTTTTCTTTTCAATTCCCTCCAGTTTCTTTATTCTACCGTTAAGTGGGGTTAATTCATGATTACATGCGCTATCTACTATCTGGATGGTTCTGGTCCTCGTTTATTGAGAGGCTCAAGGTTAAACTTTGGAGTTTGGACTCCACCGAATCTGTGAGAGTCGCAACGAAACGAAACATTTTTGTGTAAAGTATAAATGACTTTACCTCCGGTCAAGGCTTTCTATGATTCGTAATATAAGACTTTCGTCTAAAACATGTAATTTGTCCCGAGATGTATTTTGCTTTGAAAAATGGTTTTTAACTAAATAAACCAACATTTCAAAATATTAAATAAATTAAAAAAGAAGCCTGTCCCACCCCGTCGCTCGCTAATAAAGACGAGATTGAAATTTTCACCGTCGGGAAACACACGAAAGATTAATTAAAAATGCCAAATAAATTGATATCAAACAAAAAATAACAACTAAATTTGTCTACTTTGTAAGTTCCAATTCGCCTCACCGCCGGCCGAAAAACCTCAAACAGTTCCCGAAAACATTTTTCTTTGCCCGCACAAGCGGATAGCATTGAACCCTGTCATAGTCCAACTCCAGAAGCCTCCTACAGGCTCTGGGAGCCGGGAGAATAGGTAAATTATAAAAAGTTGACATTAATATCATGAGCAAATCTGACAAACATATTACTACATGCATTGGCTTCTCTGTAATCATGGCCAACAATAGTATTCCAGCCCCTCATAAGCATATACGGATATACCTGACATCGTTAACAAGCGCCAACAACGACGTCATCACACGAGGAGGAAAGACATTAACTATCTGATGCCTTTTGCGTCCTCTTCATTCCGTTATAAAGGCACCATACATAGTATAGTATAATCACAACAATGAGTAACTGAATTCAGTCTAGAATTTTATTCATCCCTTGAATTAGAATGGACCCAAGGGCAGGACATCACAGCTTTTCAATTATCATCATAAATATCAAATCAATGTAGGACGCTTTTCATGAGTCCCTACTTTGCTTTGGCTTTACCCTTTCCTTGACCTTTCTTGGCCTCTAACTTGGCTTGCACACGAGCAGCAGCTGCAGCTTTTGCTTCCTCTCTCTTCCTTTTCTCCTCCTCTTTGGCTGCAGCAGCAATCTCTCTCTGCTTCTTCAGCTCTCTGACAAACAGTCACAGCAGAAAATCATGGTCCCGTCCAGTAAAAATATACATTTCAAGTGAACATTGATTAGCTTCTGCTACCGATGATGCACAGATAAAAGAAATTAGGAAAGTGCGTAATTTCTGACTTACTCTAGCCTAGCCCTCTCGTCAGAAACACTTCCCAGACTGGAACCCTTCCGGGGCCTACAAGCCACTAGCTCAACTTCAAAAACAAGTGTCGCACTGTGACATGGAAAGAAATACAAGAACAAGTATTAATCCGCATTCACTAAATTCTTCTAACTACAAGGAAAGTGGAACGGAAAGGAAATTAAACGCATTTTAAAAACTGATGGCACAATCATCACTTATGCCTACATCTTATTCATCTTTTATTATTCCTGGAAACGATTAGAAACTTCAGGAAGAAAAGCTGAAAGAAACGTATAATGTTTTGGTCCACGGCATGGCACAGGTTACCGTTAACTTTTTTTTTTTTGGGGGGGGGGGGTTCAAGATTCACGGTAATTGATGAAATTTTGAATAAAACGATCCTAATAAATGGCTTATTATATGCTACTCAAGCAATTTTACTTATATTAAACAATTGTGTTTCCAAACAAAATGCTAGGTGGATAGAGTAGACAGAGTACTCTGGGGGGATATCTGGTGGAGATCCTGCACTGCCATATGCATATTCTGGCCTGCAAGTAATTTTTGCAATTTCTCCAACCTAATGAAGACAGCAATAAAAAATGAGATGAAAACTCCAACTAGTTAAATACAGCATCATAAAAATTTTGGGTGGAAAAGTGCCGTTTGACCTTCATGGTCTTCACTGCAATGTCCCAAGCCTTGATAACACTGCCCTTTCCAAGCTCAAAAGTGAACACTGTGTTATCCTCGTGTGTGGTATCAAATACTTCACCAGTATCAGCAAGTGTTCCTTCATAATGAACTGACCCAGACAAACAAATAATCAAGCAGAATAAGATTAGCACGCTCAGCTAAATGGTTTTTTTATGGAAAGAATATGGGAACACCATATCCAACAGTTATGGTCATAATGCCCATGACCAGGTTCGAATTTTCCACCAAATAATTCCTTAAAATCCAATTGCATGGTTTCTGGTTCTTGTGGATAACTAATCCTAGGAACTTAAGTTTATTTTTGAATTTTCAGGATTCAATTGTAGTAAGCAAGTCGTAGTGTCTATAGTGATCAGACTAGGCAATGGACTTTTAATTCCAAAATTTGCCAACTCTAACTTTGTAGTATCAAAATTGCAAATTTGCTAAACTATTTAGATGACAATATCACTTTATTTTGGCTTTACCAATTGTTTTAGATTGAATTTTGAAGGATTATGAAGTTTGTTTTCTGAGCACTGCGCGATGCCTAGATTATCCTTGGTTAATTATGTCATTAGCATCACTATGGATCACTTTATTATGTTTTCAGAGCACTACTTTGCACTGCTATTACTGGGCTTATTCCTTTTAATCCGATATCTGCAGTCTATGCCTTCCTTTTGTTATCTTGGCCTCAGATCCTAAAAAAGTTCCACCTGCAAAACCCTAATCCATCAATCTCCAAATTTTCCCTGAAATGCAGGGAACCCATGGCATAATGTTTGAAGATACTGACTACACTTGAAGACCTCTGACACAACATTTTTCTTACCCAAGATTTATTTCTCTCAGTAACAAATATAACTTTCAGCATCAAAATTTGATATAGCTCAACCCTAACAAAAGATCCTAATCCTTGGCTTTTTAATGTAATTTGACTGTCAGCGTCAAAGCAAAAATGCATCCTTTCCATGAACCAAGATCACTCCCTTGAAGAAAGCCCAACTTCAATTACAGATCAGTATATCTTGGTGAATAAGGAGACAACGTGTTAATTGTTAAAGGCAAGCATTTTAGTTATAAGGGACAGAATGGATTTACGGATATTTACTCCAGGAAAAAAAGGGACAATCAATATGATAAGCTTTGATCAAGACTAACGCACAATTTCTTACCAACAGGAAATAAGAGAGTTTATCTATCGAAAGCACAGGATGAACTCAACTGCACCTAAAAGCGGACAGCCAATTTGGAAGATGTATACAACAGAAGAATAAAGATCAAGGTCCTGATTTTCTAGAATAAATTGTCTTAGCTAAAATTCTCTACTACCGTAGTCCATATATTACTACTACTATAGTAACACGGGCAGAACAAACATACCATCAACAAGAGGAAAATCTTCAGTTGGACGTTCAGCATCAATTTTGCTGCTTTTCACAATGGTCTTTATGACACCTCCGTCACCAGTCAAATCAATAGCATCGCCCATGGTTTAGAAACTGTTAGCAACAAAGAAAAAAGTTAAAAATGCCAAACGCATATAAGTTGAGTATTGCCTTAGCCAATAGTCAGTTAACCCTCGTAAGGTCATCAACCTCCGAAGAGTATCTAGTATGCTTAAAATGTTGAATAGCCAACATAAACATAATTAAGATAGAAATATTATTAGTGTATCTTCAAGAACTTTTCAATGCCAAACACAAAAAGGGAACCTAGCATGAAGGGAAACTGCTTTATTCGCAGAACACGTGAAGGGAAGACCAAAGAATCCCTTAGACCTTTCATTCTTGAACGGTCATTACGGTTACAAAATCTTGTGTACAAACATGCGTATTCTTGAAAGCAAAATATTTTAATCACTATGCAAATCAAATGGTCCCTCAGATACGGTAGTGAATAAAAAGAAATATGATTGAATCATGGAATGTCCTGATTCATTAAAAGTCAAAAGACATTTTAACACCAGCTTGCCGTCACCCTTTGGTTAAAATGAATAGATAAATAAATAAAAGGAATCTAACAACAAAAAGATCAGCCTAGGATAAAAAACACCAAACTGACCAGAAATTGACAGCGTTATGAACAGAAATCACTAAACGTATGAATCAGTTTTATGTTATGGAACTACGCAAGATAACACAGTTCAGACCAGTCTGCATCACCGAGTTAGCTATTTATAACACGATACAGGTAAAAGAAACAGCAGCCCGATTCTCCGCCATATTAAGAGTATTAATTGTCAACTGTTTCAAAATCTCGAGTCCTATATTTTAAGAGTTTCTTACCCGAAGAGACCAATTTTTGCAATCAATTAGGAAGAAATGACGTAATTATCAGCAAGTCAGCAGAGTATACAACACCACAATTTCGCTTGCACAAAACAAATTGCAAATCAATCAGACTCAAACGAAATAGAAATTAAGCACACTGGTCTTTATCTAAGTTCGCTTTCTTATACAGAAGCACACATATCTATACATGCAATCGCTAGATGCACAAGGATTCCACGTTCACAGTCTAAAGCCGAACAGTTCTTGACAGGAAAAGGGGATAGAGAGTGAGGCATCGATACTGACCCGTTTCAGCTGGATGGTGATGGTAATGCTGAAGAAGAAGGCGAAGCTTCTGGAACGAAGCGTATGAACCGGGTAGTCGGGTCGCTAGACGGGCACAAATTTCGTAATACTTCGGTGGCCATATGCGTCTGACAAAGCTCTGCGCAGGAAGAGGATTGTTGTTGAGGAATAAAGGGCAACGGGGATGACGACGCACACGCGTGGATAGCGCGTGAAACTGAAATTTCGAATAGGGTTTGTATCCCCACAAAGAAAAAAACATTTAGGGCCCCATACAGCAAAATAAACTCATGCAAGGACCCAAAGGTGCAAATCACAAGATGATGAAATTTTCGGCAAAAAAAAAAAAAAACGACGAAATGAACACGAAAGCACAGCATCTCTTTCTTTTCCCATTCTGCTGCGTTTTTTTTTTTTCTCTTGAAGTGAACACAAGATGAAGTGTTATTTTTTTAAAATCTGTCGTAATTGTTTCATTTTCTGAAAATCATTGTTAAAAAATCTCAGCTAAACCACTAAATCCGTTTAGCCCGTAAATTTTGTAGATTTCATCTTTGAAAAATCTCTGTGTGGGATATGAATTTTATGTTAATGAAAGTTTTTCAACTACAAAATAAATGAAATTTATGCCGAATTGAATGTGGTGAACTAGTGGGCGTGATACCAAAAACTAGCCATCATAGCCAGCAGTAACTGGGCTGGGCCTAAACGCCCATAATGATCCCCGAGTGTTGGTTTTCTGGCTAATTGGTCTGTTCAGTCTCAACGATGGCCCAAAAAAATCTCCCTAATTAAATATTGACCAAAAATACGGACGATCCAAAGCTAAATTAACATGAAGGACAATTATGATGATGGCTGGATTTATATGCCGTTGCTAGTAATTTTATTATTTAGTTTTTAAAATGAAAATTAGTAAATTCAGGCGACAAATAAACTAGATCATTTTAATAATTAATTTAATGGATTTTTCTGCCAAAAAAATAACTTAATCGGCGTCGGATTCAGTTTAGAATCTATACAGTTATCTGAAAAGAAATCATAAACTTATCAAGTTGTAATTAAAGAATCACATTCTTATATTGGGGGGATTCTCTGAGTTTGTGGTACCACTTCTAAATATTCCATATTCTTTGAATGAGAAATTTTTGTATACTACGAGAGTTCCACCTTACTTGTACTCTCGCCAGTACAAAAATAACAAATCATAGAGTGTTTTCTTGTGGGACCCATGAGGTGTGATTTGTCATTTTTCTACTGGCCACGGTATAAATGACATGGAACTCTTTGAGTATGCACAATTTCCTAAGAATGAAAGCTTTGTTGGTCACAACTAACCTCTAATTATCAATATAAAGCGAAACCAGTATGGCCCATTATTTTCATTTCCTCACTTTCTTCCTCTCTGCCTATCATGCCAGCTCCCAAGCATGTCCTTTTTTCCATACTTTTATTTAATCATTTGTGGTGCTTAATAATTAGTTGTTAAACAAGCCGCGGATGAATTTTTAATAATTATTAATTTTAAGTTCAATTTTAAATGTGTTTTAAAAAAACAGCATGATATAATTTAGAAAATGTTTGGCGACGCTAATGCAAACAAAGGAATGGGAAGGCAAATTCACCACCCCATGTTCATGTGTGGGCGCGCGCATCTGACTCTGACACAGCTTCATGAGTATGGGGATGATCCAATGGACGAACGCCACATGTGAGAATTTAATTTGGTAATGGCGTAATGATTCGCGCAGACGCAAGCGTGCGATGATGTGACCATTGACCGTAGGCCGACCTCGAAAGTGGGCCCACCATGGGCCTACTCACAAGGTAGGTGATAGGCCCACCTTAAATGAAGTCCTTGGATTTTACCCAACTACATTCGGCTACTGGGCCCACTATCCAGCCCTAACCCAACCCCACCAGATTCTCTCTCCTTTCACTTTTCCCATCTTGGGCCCTTTTAAATTAAATATTCAAATATTATTTACGATTTAACTTTATTTTTAAAAAAATAATTTCGACTAATTTATTTTCCAAGCCTGAAACCTCTTGACGCATTGGTTTTAATTTCCCCCCCCCTCAGATTGCTTTGCAAGAACTAAACTGTATTTTTTTTTTGTAAGCCATCAAAGGATATATTTAGAGAAAAATGGAGTCGTTTGGTTATGATATAATATTTCCCTTTTTCAACAGTACATAATAAATATAGAAATACGCCGTTGACTAACAATCAATAAATACGCAAGCTTCTTTTTTCAGAAACGGATAAGAATGCTAAACAAGAACTAAAATAAAATATGGGTATTTCTTAAAAGAAATTGTAACTTTATATTCACTAAAAGAACCGTGACTTTATTGTTCAACAAAGTGGAGATTACAATTTGCAGCATTGTAAGTTGCAACTGAGTCCCGTGATTTTGAACTCTATTTGGAACATTAATTTTCTTGATTTTGTGGGGGCATTATATATTTAGGCATGGGCACGCAAAGTGAGTCAATTTTCTCTGGGTCAAAAAAGCTAGTGGAATGGAGATTTGGGGGCGAAAAAGCAAAAAAGAAAAAAGAAAAAAAAGAAAGTCTGATGAAAATTATTCATAAGCTTGACCTGAGGAGCTTAGCAAAAGACACAAATTATGAAGCGTGGGAAAAAGAAAGGGACAAAGGGAGGGCAGGGACGTTTGATAAAAAAATAAAAAGGAAAGAAATAATTGAAAATAAGAGGGAGCTAGCTAGGAGCAATAATTAAGAGTGACTTAAATAGGAGTTTGGAACTCAATAATTGAAATGACTGTGAATGGGTGTGCTGGATGTGATTCGAGCAAGCAAGACAAATATGAATCCGGGTGGGGACAAATGGCTAATGAAACTAGTTTGATTACCTTTTTGACCTTATTATTCTCAAGACTCTACTATATAACACGTCCTTATCAAACAGTACCTAAGTAATATACCACCGATCCAAGGAACATGCCTACCTCAATTCCCTTCTTAATTATTATGAGACCCATTCCATCCGCCTAAAGTTCTTCACCCGCATCTACAGCCGTTAAACTCATTTTCACCTCACATTCCCCCCCCCCTTTTTTTTCTTTTTACAAATAATTTATTCTGAACAATCTCTCAATCGCTTTTTACATAGTTATGTTTATTTTCTAAAATAATAATATTTCTTTTTAACTTGCTTAAATCAATTAAGTTGGCCGAGAGGTTGAATTTTGCTCAACTTGGTTTTTCCTTTAGGATTAAGAAATTTTGAAAATTATTATTATTTTTTTATTTAAAATATTTTTAAAGAAGTTCCCAACTAAAGTTAAACCAGTCAGTTCAGCTGTGATGTAACTCACTTCGCTGATATGTAAAACATACACTCTTGATGGCCAAAAAGAAAAAGGAAAAAAAATCACTTTTCTGTTAATGCGGATTGACAAAATTAGTCAGAATTCCAACTCAGATGCTTGCATTTAAATTCTTTAGAAGTCATTCAAAGCATGATATAATGGGGATCTATACCTATTTTAAGAAAGATAATTCTTGAAAGGGAAGATTTTTGCGGTTCTAGCCATAAAGTGATGCACTTTTTTATCCACAAATTAATTTTAAACGGGAAAAAATCACCCCATGAAATCCCATTCCTTTTCGTGGTCAACAATCAAATCCCGTTCTACAGTAAATAAATTGATTGCAAATCATTTTGTGTTGACGACACTGTTAAAAAGAAAATAAGCAAGAGAAGATTTTGACATAAAGCAGAAGGCAAATGATTTTAGTGCCAACTTAAAAGCGATCCGCAGCTAAATTTTTCAACTTTTATGGTAAGAAAAGTCTGTAAAATATAATATAAAATTATCCAATCGAATCTTTCTGAATTATCCAGTGATCTTGACAATTGAAGATCAATGATGACAAAGAACAAAATTAACATCACGCCTTGTTTACCCCTATAAGTTAATCTGTGACTTCATTTTCTGTTCTTTGGAAGACTTCTGGCTATGCTTCTGATTCGAACTCACAAGCCCAACCAAGATTCGAACACATCGTGACAATCATGAATAAAAAACCGAAATGCAAAACATATTAGTCTTTCAGTTCTTAATATAAAATCTATTTAATTAATTTGATTAGATTAAGAAAATTAGGTAAGTTAGTTAATTATAAGAAAAATGACATATTTTTCCTAAAACACCATAATCATTTTTCTTAATACTTTTTCTCCCTCTTTTACTTAATTATGGTTGAGAGAGTATCCATAAGAATAATTGAGAGAAAATTGATAAATATAAGAAATGAGCTTTATATTTACGACCAAAACCAACTCAAGAATTGAGTCATATATTAAAGATCGGAGGAATATTATTATAAGTAATTTTACTTTTTATTTATTATGTATAAATAGTTATTTTCTTTGTGGGGAGAGGGGGGAAAAAAGAAAGGCAGCAATAGTGTGTGATTGCGTGAGGGTGAAAACATGTGTTGATTGATTTTGTGGAGGTGAGATGCCAATGTCAGCGTCCATGCCAGCCTGCCATTTCCAAAGCTACATAATATTCCATTATATTGAAATATTATATTAATTAATATTTTCTTTTGCGAAAAAGTTTCCATGAGGACATGACCATGACACGCCAAACAAACAAATAAATCACTTGTTTAATATTGTTTCTCAGAGATTTCTTATTATAGAATCTGAGGCTTTAAGATTCCCAAAGCAAATTCCTTGCTTCTTTTTTTTTTTTTTTTAAACGACTGGTCAGATCCATATGATCCCACACCACTTTGGGTTCACAACTTCACAAGTACTATTATCCCCCCACCCCCGGGTAAACTACAGCAATACCAGCTGTTTTTACTGTTTCTGCATTGCCCTTACTGCCCTCCCTCCTGCTCCCTAATTACGATCGAACCCCAGTTTGCCTTTTTTAACGTGGACGGTTACAGGTGAAAACTCAATAACGCCCTCAGTCAAAGTGGTCCATGTGGGGGTCAAAGGGGGGATGCTTCTAGGACATTTTTGTCATTTAGGTCACAAAAAAATCGAGAGGGACGAAACTGCTTGGGGAATCGAGCCAATTAATTTCTCCAGCCAGCGGCGTGGCAGTAGTAACTGACACCGAACAACTTGGGATATCCCCACCACACCCCTCTTCC